ATGGCAGGTCCACATTCGGGGTGACGAAGACTCTAGAACTGCTACGGCGCTCGTTCTGGTGGCCGGACATGATCAAGGATTGTGAGCGTTACGTCCGGACGTGTCCCACCTGTCAAAGGAACAAACACTCCAGGAGTAGGGCATGGGGATTGTTACGTCCATTACCTATACCCAAGCGGGAAAGCGGCCTGGCAAATGATAGCCATGGATTTTGTGGTCGAACTCCCACCATCCCAAGGCCACACAGCGATAATGGTGAACGTCGACCGCTTTCTCGAAGATGGCGCATTTCGTGCCCCTGGAGAAGACCCCATCGGCACCCTGGAAACGGCACGGATCTTCATTCGGGAAGTGGTAAGGCTTCATGGAGTCCCCGAAGACATTGTGTCGGATCGGGGGTGCAATTCACCTCCAGGTTCTGGAACGCCCTATGTAAAGCGCTGGGAATCAAGCTGTCGCTCTCATCCGCCTACCACCCGCAGACCAACGGTCAAACCGAGAGGACCAACCAAAACGCTGGAACAGTATTTTTACGATGCTACAACCTCCTATCTCCAGGATGACTGGCTGACGTTGTTGCCTTCTGCGGAGTTCTCATACAACAACTCAAGTCACTCAGCTAACGGGTCAATCGCCATTCTTTTCTAATTACGGGTATCACCCCACATTCCTCCCTGATCTAATGCCTGAAAATCTCCCTATGAGGGTGTACCGGCGTCGCAAGACATCTTGAACTTCTTTTCCGTCAACAACAAGGGACTATTCAGGAAGCCATCGCTAAGGCCCAGGAGGACAGTAAAAAGGCTTTCGACAGAAAGAGAAGAGGAGATTTACTGCTTCAATCAGGAGATCTGGTTTGGCTAGCAACAGCCAACTTGAAGATGCTGTGCCCCTCAAAGAAGCTGGGACCCAAGTACATTGGCCCATTTCCTGTTAAACGAATGGTCAACGAGGTGGGCCTACGAACTCGAGCTTCCGCAGACTTTCAAAATACATCCTGTGTTTCATGTATCTCTCCTGAAGCCGTCCAGACCGGATCCCTTCCCAGACCGAGAATCCAGACCTCCCGAGGCAAATCGCCATAGGTGACCAGGAGGAATTTGAGGTGGAGACTATCCTCAGTTGCCGAAGGAGGGGGGGGGCCAGACTCAGTTCCCTGATAAAATGGAAGGGTTATGGTCCTGAGGAGAACTCCTGGGAACCCGCCCAGGACGTATTTCACTCAGCCCGACGTTCCAAGAGCGCCCAGGCTCATCCCGGGAGTTTTGTCGTGCTCACCCGCGGTGGAGAGATCAGTGGGGCTCCCGGAGGGTGCCCGTTGGGGGGGGGGGCAAATGTCAGGGATCCCGGCTCCGTCTGCCGCAATCACGGCTCTGTCCCCCGCGCATGCGCATTGGCGGCAGATCGCGCCGGGACACAGGAACTAGGTCCGGCGAGCCGCGGCTGACAGGACGCCGCGCTGTATGCGCAGTAGAAACCGCGGGCGCGCCTCAGGCGTCCAATGACAGCCGGGGGCCGCGAGTCCTAGCCAGCGCAATGACAGTGCAGGGCGCACTATTTAAAGATGCCCTGCACTGTCACAAATTGCCGCAAGGTCTATATGTGATCCTGAATACCTGCTCCTGCTGTGACCCTGTTTTTTGACCCAGACTAAACGCTGCCTGCCCCTGTGATTGACCCGGCTTTTGTTCTGACTATTCTACCCGCTCCTGTGATTGACCCGGCTTTGTTCTGACTATTCTACCCGCTCCCTGTGATTGACCCGGCTTGTGTTCTGACTATTCTACCCGCTCCTGTGATTGACCCGGCTTTGTTCTGACTATTCTGCCTGCTCCTGCGTTTTGACTCGGCTTATCCCAACTGTTCCTACGGATTGATTTACCTGGCTGACCCTGCGTGTGACCCGACTACTTACCTAGCCCGCCGATTCGGCGTGACCTGGCCCGGGACTGTTTCAAGTCCATCCCCACCATCAGGGGCCCTGGTGAAAGCACAGCCCGGGCTTAGACCCCACGCTCTGGGTAGGTCTACCAGCTGGCAGACGGAGGGCTCCGCCTGGCGGATCCTAACAACAAGTATAAATTTTGCACCATTTTTCATTTGTTGGGATTAAACCCTTGTTCCCAATCAACCTGGGAGCAAAGTATCTTGCCAGCGTGGCCCACTGCCAAAGTACCTTCCCAATGTTGAGGTGTTGAGGGCATCTGTTCTTGAATGGTTCAGCGGGGAAGGTTGCAGTCTCCTCCTTTTCCTGTCCAGCCAGGCAACTTGCTTGGATAAAAGTATAAATTTGCACCATTTTTCATTTGTTAGGATTAAACCCTTCTTCCCATCAACCTGGGAGCAAAGTACCTTGCCAAGGTGGCCCCCTGGCAAGGTTCCTTCCCAATGTTGAGGGCATCTGTTCTTGAATGGTTTGGGGGGGGAGGTTGCAGTCCCCTCCTTTTCCTGTTCAGCCAGGCAACTTGATTGGATACAAGTATAAATTTGCACCATTATTCATTTGTTGGGATTAAACCCTTGTTCCCATCAACCTGGGAGCAAAGTACCTTGCCCGGGTGGCCCTTCTGGCAAGGTTCCTTCCCAATGTTGAGGGCATCTGTTCTTGAATGGTTCAGGGGGGAAGGCTGCAGTCTCCTCCTTTTTTCCTAGGCCACATGGCTTGCAGAAATAAAGGTTTGAGTCCACCTCAAAATCTGTAACAGACCCTTACCCTAGATTGAGGCCTAGGATGGATTTTGAGGGGAACACCATGCTAAAAAACAAAGCTCTCATAGTCCATAATGGACTGATCCTCCTTAAATTCCATGCCTTGTCTAGAATAAGGGTGTGATATGGTTTTTGAGGGGCATTCCCATACCTTTTTGTTTCTGCACGGCATGGGGCCTGGCATGCTTCAGGAGAGGCCTAGGGGCTGAAAAATGGGAGGGTAATTTGGCAGGGGGCCCAATCTGGCAGGTCACCTTGTTGAGAAGCTTCATTCCCACACCCCTGGCCAAGTGGATGTTGGGGTCTGCAAATGGTGGTGGGTTCAATTGAATCTCAAAGCCCTTTTAAGATAAGGGGGCCCCTTGCTATCCAACCTTCCCTCCTACATGATTGAGAAAGGGAGTTCACAGTATACCTTGTTGCTCATTAACACACACACACACACACAAAAAAAAGAATATAATAAACACAAAGACTCTCAATCAAACCTTTATTCAAGTAAAACGATGTTATAATAAACAATAAAATCCAACCATGTCACCTAGGCATACAGATCCATCAACGACATCCTGACAACCAAAACTACAACAATCCGCTTCCACAGCACTCCTGCCAGAAATGACAGCTCCCCGACCGGTTGGTGAATGTCAACAAACCAGCTGGAGATCCTGGGTGACGTCACTGACCACTCATGGCCATATGTGGTCAATGACGTCACCCAGGATCCCCAAACCAACCTGCGGAAGGATCTGTCATTTAGCAGCACTACTTTTTTTTATGTCACCATTGCTGGAGTACATCCAACTGGGGCACCAATTCACATGTGGGATCACCAATTCATGTGTAGGATCACCATTTTGCGTGTAGGATCAACAATTTATGTGTAGGATCACCATTTCCCATGTAGGGTCACCAATTCATGTGTAGGATCACCATTTCCCATGTAGGGTCACCAATTCACGTGTAGGATCACCATTTCACGTGTAGGATCAACAATTCACGTGTAGGATCACCATTTCACGTGTAGGATCAACAATTCATGCGTAGGATCACCATTTCACGTGAAGGATCAACAATTCATGCGTAGGATCACTATTTCTCATATAGGGTCACCAATTCTTGTGTAGGATCACCATTTCACGTGTAGGATCACCAATTCACGTGTAGGATCACCAATTCGCATGTAGGATCACCAATTTGCATGTAGGATTCCCATTTCACGCGTAGGATCGCCATTTCACATGTAGGATCACCAACTCACGTGTAGGATCACCATGTCACATGTAGGATCACCAATTCAAATGTCGGATCCAGGGGCGGACTGACAACTCATGGGGCCCCCCGGGCAATAGGGGATCATGGGGTCCCTGTGTCCTTGCCCAAACTCAAAAAATCTTATGAAAAAGGTACCATGGGCATCTCATGGGGCCCCCTACTGACCCCGGGCCCTCGGACAGTCCCCGAGTTTCCAAATGGTCAGTCCGCCCCTGGTCGGATCACCATTTCACATGTAGGATCACCATTGTACGTGTAGGATCACCATTTCGTGTGTAGGATGACCAATTCGCGTGTAGGATGACCAATTCACATGTAGGATGACCAATTCGCGTGTAGGATCACCATTTCGCGTGTAGGATCACCATTTCGCGTGTAGGATCACCAATTCACATGTAGGATCACCATTTCACATGTAGGATCACCAGTTCCTGTTTAGGATCACCATTACGCGTGTAGGATCACCATTACGCGTGTAGGATCACCATTTCACATGTAGGACCGCGGTATCCCCCAAGCCTTTAATATAATTGGGTATTTTTAAAAGTTGCCCTTTATCTGCATCACATGACCCGCTTTGCTCCGAGGGGGACATTTGTTACCCCATGGCCACCTACGCCCGCCATCTTTGTTTTTTCACCTAATGCTTGCAAGTTGTCCTTAAAGAAGGCAAAACATACGAGAGTCAGCTCCCATAGACCACAATGGGTTTCGGGTGCTAGGTCTGGGATCTGCAGATCCTCCCATGAACTGAACCCAAGCCAGTCCCACCCATCACTCCTTCCTTGTGCGGGATCTTCCATGTATAGCAAGGTCAGATGTCCGTGCCTAACGTTTTCCACATTTGGGGGGTGGGGCATTATGGATTCTCCCCGGTGTGAGACTTCTGATGCAAGATAAGTGTTGATTTCAATCCAAAACATTCCCCACATTCGGGACAGGGAAACATCTTTTCCTGCGCGTGCCGCATCTGATGTGCGGTGAGATTGGACTTCTGTGAGAAACTTTTTCCGCACTCGTGACACGAATATGGCCTCTCCCCCGTGTGCATTCTCTGATGTGTGTAAATGTGGGACTTCTTTGAGAAACATTTCCCGCACTCTGGACAGGAATACGGCTTCTCCCCCGTGTGAGATCTCTGGTGTGCAACAAGGTCTGATTTACATGGAAAACATTTCCCGCATTCGGGGCAGGAATAGACCTTTTCACCCGTGTGCAATCTCTGGTGTCTGACAAGGCAAGACTTCTGTAAAAAACATTTCCCACACTCGGGGCAGGAATACGGCTTCTCCCCCGCGTGAGATTTTTGGTGTATAGAAAGTTCTGATTTGTGTGAAAAACTTTTCCCACACTCAGGGCAGGGATACGGCTTGTCCTCCCTGTGAGATCTTTGATGTATATCGAGGTATGGTTTGTGTTTATAAGATTTATTGCACTCGGAGCAGGTGTAGGGCTTTTCCTCTGTGTGAGATCTTTGATGTATGATGAGGTCTGATTTCTGTATGAAACATTTTCCGCACTCTGAGCAGGAATGTGGCTTCTCACCCGTGTGCAATCTCTGATGTCTGACAAGAAAGGACTTGTGTGAGAAACATTTCCCGCAATCGGGACAGCAAAACGGCTTCTCCCCCTGGTGAGATGTGTAATGCATGTTAAGTTCTGCTTTATCAAGGAAACATTTCCCGCACTCAGAGCAGGAAAAAAGTTTCTCCCCCGTGTGAGATCTCTGATGTACAGAAAAACTTAATTCAGAACTGAAACTTTCCCCGCACTCAGGATAGGAAAATTCCTTCTCCCTTGAATTCCGGCCCCATCCCCCGCAGTAGGAGGTTGGTAAAGGTCCAAGGGATTCCATGGTCCATCCACACCGTGAAGTCCACCATTGATAGTGGAGCTCATTGCTCATTGTCTTTTCTCCGACACAATCTCCTGGGATGTCCTCATCTGCCATTTTACAGACTATAAACACAGTGGGAGGATCCTTTGAGGGTTCCTCAAGGGTGTGTCCTGAAAGAAAAGACATGATGGGGTTAGTCAGTCGATGGGATTTGTGTCCTCCTCCCAGATCACTTCTCCATTTATATGGTCTTGTCAGAAGGGAAGGGACAAAGAGGGACATGGAGATGTATGCTTTTAACACAAGCCCCTGATGACGTCATTTGGGACGAAACTGGTAGGGCGGACCCGGATACACGCTACTGAGCAAGGGCAAGGGAACGGCGGGCTTCTTGGAAGTTGGGATTCCATGTTGCTGTACCATGTGATATAACATGTTACCTCTGGACGTTTGTAGGTGCTTAGACTTAAAGTGTGTCTGTAGATGCAGCAAAGCATGCTTGTTCTACTCACTGGGGAACCTAAGGAGTTAATCCTCTGCATTGTGCAAAATGTTGTTAGATCCTGTCTTCTCTGATCCTCCCCTTCTTCAGTGCCCCCTTTTACCTCCTGATAAGACATACCGTGTGAAGACACTCTGCACATGCTCAGTTTGGTGTGTATTGCTACAGAGGTTTTTTTTTTTTTTCTTTTCTTGGGATAGCGCATGTGATCAGCACAGGGCCAATCAGCACTGTCCAGATAGAGGGCCAGGGGTCCTGCATCTTCCTAGAGCAAAATGAAAACTCCTCCTACAAGCTTTAACCAGTGCTCTGCTGGACACTGATAGAAGTCACAAGACTGCTCTAACTGTTGATGAGAAAAAGGGATTTAGCAGTTTATATTTACTAAAATAATTGCATTTTCCATGTTGTGTGTACTGTGGGAGACCAGATATAGTGAATGCGGGGTCCGGGAAAAGAGCGGATATAGTGAATGCGGGGTCCGGGGAGAGCGGATATAGTGAATGCGGGGTCCGGGGGGGGAGAGCGGATATAGTGACTGCGGGGGTCCGGGGGGAGAGCGGATATAGTGAATGCGGGGTCCGGGGGGAGAGCGGATATAGTGAATGCGGGGTCCGGGGAGAGCGGATATAGTGAATGCGGGGTCCGGGAGAGCGGATATAGTGAATGCGGGGTCCGGGGAGAGCGGATATAGTGAATGGGGGGTCCGGGGAGAGCGGATATAGTGAATGCGGGGACCGGGAGAGCGGATATAGTGAATGCAGGGTCCGGGGAGAGCGGATATAGTGAATGCGGGGTCCGGGGAGAGCGGATAGTGAATGCGGGGTCCGGGGAGAGCGGATACAGTGAATGCGGGGTCCGGGGAGAGTGGATACAGTGAATGCGTGGTCCGGGGAGAGCGGATACAGTGAATACGGGGTCCGGGGACAGCGGATAAAGGGAATGCGGGGTCCGGGGAGAGTGGGATATAGTGAATGCGGGGTCCGGGGAGAGCGGATACAGTGAATACGGGGTCCGGGGACAGCGGATAAAGGGAATGCGGGGTCCGGGGAGAGTGGATATAGTGAATGCGGGGGTCCGGGGAGAGCGGATATAGTGAATGCGGGGTCCGGGGAGAGCGGATATAGTGAATGCGGGGTCCGGGGGAGAGCGGGATATAGTGAATGCAGGGTCCGGGGAGAGCGGATATAGTGAATGCGGATCCCGAGGAGAGCCATTTTGCTGTTAACAAGCATTGGAGGTAAGGCCTACAGCTACACCACCCTGAATGTGCCTGATCTCGGGAGCTCAGCAGGTTTTGGGCAGAGGAAGTCCCTAGGGTTGGTGTCACCTGGTGCGGTGACACATGGTGTCACCCCTCCAGAGAGGAAGGAGCGGTAAAATGAGTATCCTGTGAACATATGTATCCCCTGAAGCAACTGCGCATGTGCCGGTTTCAGGCCGAAGAAAACTGATCTCCGACTTTAGCACAGAGCCGGCGATCGGCTTCTTCGACCTGAAACCGGCACATGCGCAGTTGCTTCAGGGGATACTCACTTAACCGCTACACCGGGGCGGGGCAACTGTCACTGTGCTGGCATCCTGCTCCTGCGCTCCATGATGGTGTCACCCGATGCGGCCCGCACCCCTCTAGGGACGCCACTGGGGTCGGGCCTGGTTGGTACGTGGAATGGGGAAGATCTTGGTGATTCATGGGATTATTTTTCGGTTTTGGTTTTTGAGCGCCGCACTGGTTACATCAATCACGTCGGGTTGGCTCCAAGGAGGGAATAAACTGTAGAAGCGTTATGTTGAAGAAAGAGTATAAAACGTTTCAGGAGACGAGCAACACTAACGCGTTTTGGTCAAACAACACCTTACTCTTAAGTTCACTTGTTATATACAGGAGTACCTCGGTTTATGAACGCCTCGGGTAACGTAGTTTTCGGTTTACGAATGAAAATCACGCAAATTTTTTTTCGCAATATGAAATGTATGTCGGAGCCGATTTTTACTTTTTTTTTCTTCACTATCACTCACAGGGTTAGCTGTCACTTTCCCCAGAGCTAAAGGAAACTTTTTTCTTTTAAGACAGTAAAAGGAAACATTGTTTCTTTTAGGGTAAATAAACTAAAAGGAAACTTTCTCTTTTAGCTGGGTGGGAGTGACAGCTGATTCTCTGAGCTATAGTGAAGAAAAACAAAAATCGGTAATTACATTTAAAAACTGGCACCATAATAAATAAAAAAACGGCGAGGGGTCCCCCCTCCCATCCATATTTTGAGGGGAACCCCCACGCCAACATTTAAAAAAAAAATCCATACCAGACCCTTATTTAAACGTGCAGCCCAGCAGATCAGGAAACGAGCGAGCGCCCCCCCCCCTCCTGAATCATACCAGGCCACATGCCCTCAACATGGGGGGTGCTTTGGGGCAGGGGGGGCTCCCCCCCAATTCACCTTATCCCCATGTTGATGGGGACAAGGGCCTCTTCCCCACAACCCTGGGCTGTGGTTGTGGGGGTCTGTGGGCACAGGGCTTATCGGAATCTGGAAACCCCCGTTAACAAGGGGGCCCCCAGATCCCCCCCATGTGAATGAGTTTATGGGGTACATAGTACCCCTACTCATTCAGAAAAAACAAGAAGTGCAGTGTGTAAAAAGACAGGACACAGTCTTTGACAAGTCCTTTATGAAAAGAAAAAACTAAAAGAATAACCCCCGCAGTAGATCCAACATCAATCACGATGCCCGCCATCACCGCCGCTGCCGCCACTGACCCGAAAAAAGAATTTTAAAAAAGGCTCCGCTCCCGACGATCTGCTCCAGCCCGACACCTCTATTGACACTTTGACGCAAGCTATAGTTCAGTTGGCAGAGGCTCAAACTACTCTACAGCAAACATTCCGTGGAATTCAGAAAGGACAAGCGATGGAAGCCCATGCCGATAGGCAACAGTCATTTATTTGCTCATTGCCCAAATGAAGAGAACCTGACAGACCTTACAGCACAGTGGTGAGAGCATTAACTAATTGCCGACCACAGATAGCCGAATGACGGCTGCACTGCGGCCGGCCAGTTCTGGGTGGACGTCATATGACGTCCTCCCAGAACGCGCTCTCCTGCGTGCCCCCCGGGGCGCGCACCTGGCGATCTCCGTGATCGCTGTGTCCTACGGACACAGCTGATCACGTGACGTGGTAAAAGGCCAATCACAGCGGCCTTTTACCACGTGATCCAATGACACGCTGATCACCGGGAAAATGCAAATGCCAGTTCTCGGCTGCACTTTCCTCACGCTGTCAGATCGTGAGGAAAGTACTGCCGAAAACCGGCAGTTGTCAGAGCGGGGATCGGCACCGATCATCAGGGTCACTGATCATCAGTGCCGTGATGATCGGTGCCCAGCAGTGCCACACACAAGTTCCGCCCACCTGTGCCCAGCAGTGCGCCCACCTGTGCCCTGCAATGCACCCACCTGTGCCCAGCAGTGCGCCCACCTGTGCCCAGCAGTGCGCCCACCTGTGCCACCCAGCAGTGTCACCACCTGTGCCCAGAAGTGCCACCTACCTGTGCCCAGTAGTGCCACCCACCTGTGCCCACCCACCTGTGCCACCCACCAGTGCCCATCAGTGCAGCCCAGCAGTGCTGCCAGTCAGTGCCACCAGTCAGTGCCCAGCGGTTGTGCCAGTCAGTGATGTCAGTCAGTGCTACCTATCAGTGCTGTCTATCAGTACCCATTATCAGTGCCACCAATTAGTGCCGCATATCAGTTCCACCTATCCGTGACACCTCATTAGTGCTGCCTACCAGTGCCGCCTATCCGTGCCACCTCATTAGTGCCGCCTATCAGTGCCGCCTATCAGTGCCGCCCTCATCAACGCACATCAGTGAAGGAGAAAAATTACCTGTTTGAAAAATTTTATAATAGAAAGAAAAAAAACCAGCAGCGATTAAATACCACCAAAAGAAATCTCTATTTGTGAGAAAAAAATGATAAAAATTTCATATGGGTACAATCTTGCATGACCGCACAATTGTCAATCAAAGTGCGACAGCGCTGAAAGATGAAAATTTGCCTGGTAAATAAGGGGGTATAAGTGCCCGGTAGGCAAGTGGTTAAAGAAGCTGTCTCTTGGAAAGTCGCCGGAAAACCTTCAGAGGGCCCTGGTGAAGGAGCAAACCGGATGCCCAACTGAAGTAGTGAGCTCCATAAAAAAAATGACAGCAGCGGAAGTCCAAACCTTT